GTGAAATCTAACTTATTTTAAGCCTGGTCCACACATCAGCTTTTGCTGATGCACATCAGGAAAAGCACATCAGCTTTTGCTTTTCCTAATAAGGCAAATATCCTTCAAGGAAAGACTAGGAAGATGTTGTCAGATCACGGTCAGGCTGAATTGTTTATAATCCTTGTCCTTGATATTCACTGGATATAAGAAAAAAAAATCTGATATGAAATAAAGCAAAATTTGATAGAAAATAAGTAAGAAAAACTGAATATTTAAGTATCTATTTTATTTGCACCCTTCCTCTTCAATCATGTTGTCTAACTTATGCTCTTGGATATAGAATAACATTTATCTTCCCTTAATGTAGAGCAGGCTTGTCCATCATATGGCCCATGGGCCTCCATGCGGCCCGCCAAGCCATTTTCTGAGGCCCACAGTGCTGCAACGGGAAATGAAAGTAAACACTGTTTACTTTCATTCCCACCCCTTGTCCCTCCTCCAGCCCCTCAGCAGCTTCCTAATGGCTGCTGAAGGGCTGGGGAAGGGACAAGGTTCCCACACGCACCACGTCAGCTTGACGTTGCTAACACCATGCAGCTCCTCCCCTCCCCCCTCATTTCACGGTGTCCCTTCCTCGCCCCACCCCTCCCTTCCTCATTTGCACGATGGCCCCACCCTGCGCCAGTCTCTGTCAGCCGCATGGGCTGGAGCAGGTTGCGGTGCAGCGGGCAGGCGGGCGCAGGTGGTGCAGATGCCAGCTCAGAGGGATGCTGCGGCCGGGCCTGTGGGAGATGCTGCTGCTGCTGCTGCTGTGGCTGTCGGGGCGGGAAGCTGGTGCCGCTCCCGCCTCCCCGCATCCCCCTGCACCTGCAGACATCGCGCTGAGGGTGGTGAATCATGGGCCCCAGGGAGGGAGGGACCCCTGCCGCTTGGGCTCGGGCTCAGGGTGCCCTGGGGGAGAGAGAGCAGGGGTGGGTCCCTGCACATCCTGCCCCCCCCTGTAGTGTCCCCACATTTCCACCTGGCTGCTGAGCCCAGGCGCGCAGGTGTGGGAGCATCCTTGAGGCTGCCCAGGTGGCAGGGAGGACACAGCAGGGTCAGATGGCACCCCCTTGACCCCTGCACCCCCAGGCCGCATGAGCGCCTGCTCCTGCTGGCCCACTGGGTGAAAAAAAGTTCATGATACAGCCCCACATTCAAAAAGGTTGGACACCCCTGATGTAGAAGATTGTGTATATAAGCTAGTGCCACAGTAATAAAAATAATTTATACACACACATGCACATATATACATATGGGGGTGCGTGTGTGTATGTATATGTATATATATAGGTATGTCAGTATATTAATAGACCTATCATCAACTATTGATAAAAAACAATTGTTTTGTCGCAGTTTACCAAATAGAATTGTATATACTAACACAAACACCAGAAAAGGCATATGTTGTCATTAATAGCTCTACACTATAATAGTTTTATAATGGTTGTGCACATTATGAATTATACAAAATTATTTTTAGCTCTGATTTTTTTCTATTCCAAGAATGTGGATTATTTTTTTCTAAAAATCTGCCACTTTAGCAATAATAAATAATGATTCTGATTTGTATCTCCAAAGCCAGTGAAAAGAACTTTGGAGAACAGTTTCTTCATCTATATCTTGTGGAAGGAAGACCAACAGTTCGATTCAGCTGTGGCAATTCTCATAATATTCTAACTGTGTCTGTGAATCACTCCATCAGCAATGGTGTGCTCACGCCTATCACAATAAGGTAAGAATTTGCCATAACCTTCTAAAAAGAGATTCAGCCCAAGGTAGGTAAAAGCGTCAGATGTACATAAAGTAGAAAGATGGTAGAGCATGTCAAACTGAAGGGTGAAATATGGTTCTTTGCAGAACACAGTTACACTGACACATTTCTTAAGCAGCTTCAAAATGATTTCATTTTTCAAAATTAGAGGCTGGACAAACAGTAAAACATGAAAGACCTGTATGCATTTAACATTTGATGATGATATTCATATCCAAAGATCATTGGACATAATGCACGAGCTATCTTTAAGTATCCCACACCCCACAACAGAGTGATTATAACTCTGCCCCTAGATCTTCTTTATTATGAGTTAAAAAGTCATAGTTTGAAAAGCAAATGTGTATATGTATGTTGGAAGATTGTGTGGCAGTTTGAAATCAGCTATGTGTATGTGACCGTTCAATATCATAATTTAGTCATTTTGAAAATTTAAGAACCAATATGAATGCACTCAGAATCCAGTCAGTTTTATATGTCCAATAAGGTCATACTGAAAATAGGTGTAATTTAAACAAAAATTAAGGGTTTGAGATGAATTACTCATAATGTATGGTAAACATTAAGAATAAATCAGATTTTTCAATATTTTTCTAGGATTAAATATACAGCTGATATATTATGTTAAATCTGCATAATTCAATGGCAGCACACTTGCAAGACCTTACGATGCATTAAATGGTGTTATACAGGTAAACTGTAAGAACTGTATATGGGTGAATGACCCCTACTAGTATGAGCGGAAAGGGGTTTATTTAGTCATTTATTTATTTATTTTTGCAATATTTTTTATCAGACCAACTCTATAATTGGGAAAGTTGTTAGATAAGGTTTTGGGCACTAAGTGCCAACAATACTCTATTTGTATGAATTTTTCTGAGTAACACGTATCCAATATAATGAATGTATAACATAGCCAAATGATACTATTAGCATCAGACACTGTACCCACGTAGTATGTTAACTTATTCTTTTCCAGTGAGGAAAGCCTTCTATGATAGTTGAGAAAATTTAAGAAAACAGTACAGAGAATATAAATTTCAATCATACTGGTAACACCAAAATGGTATGGAAAGTAATTAATGCTGAATTAAATGTTTCTAAAAATATTTATGATGTCCACATTAATGTGTAACATATTGATGTGATTAATGCTGTAATGAGAAGTAAGTAATGATTTCACTATTATGTAACTTTATTGCATAGTTTAAAAAAATAGCATTAAGTCTGGTGCACCTGAATAATGTTAGGTGTTTGTATTCTGATAAATGTCACCTCTTGAACCAGCTACAACTCTTCCCACCACCAAATTTCCAGATCCAAGGACAGCCCCACAGCCCAGGTGGCATAGTTACATGCTATGGATCTGAGTAGCGGGGCTTCCCACAGGTCTGGAAATTTGGTGACAGGATGACCCACAACAATTAACACTGCCACTGCTTATCACCATACCTCCAAATTTCTAGACCTGTGGGCAGCCAGGTGGAAACCAGGTGATATGGCTTCATGGGATGCAACTTGGTCATCCCTATTCTAAGCTGTTCATGGAGACTAACTCAAAAAGGGTACAGATTTATGGTGCAGCCCTGTGCATTACACTTCCTATTAACCAGCTTTAGGCAGCAGTGTGCCGACTTGATGGAAATCCTTATTCAGCGTGTTTCCATGTATACCATTCTGAGGTACCTAACATTCACTATGCCAAGTGTAGAGCTACAAAGAGCATAATTCAGGGTTCTGGATTTAACTCTGTGGGGCAGATGTCTAAACGGGCTTATAGGTGTTTGGCCTTGCAGCCCCTAATTTTTAGTAGCTGCACAGGTGGATTGAGTCAAGGGCTAAAAAGTTTAATGATGCACTTAACTGCACTGTGCCCTGGATGCAGGAGTTCTGGTTACATGACTGGAAGGCTGGGCTGGGGCATATAAGCCACATCCCTGATCACATGAGGGGCAGTCTAGCATTGTGCTGTGGGAGGACAAGGAGTTCTCAGGAGATAGCTGTCTACAGCAAAGAGCCAAGCCAGCTTGAGAGTGGTACTCCGGAGCTGGAGGGAGGGAAATTATCCAGCCTGAGAAGCAGGGCTTGAGCCCCAGAATCCCAGATAGGTTTAAGTTAGAACCAGTTAAGTTGCTGTTTTGTGTTGGAATTTTTCTACAGAGGAGGAGGAAGCCACAGGTGGAGGTGCCTGCATGGCACTCCCCACTGTCAGCAGCAGAAGCCAGACCCAAGCTAGAGGAACTGAGGCCGGTGGGGTGAAATTGGAGCCCAAGAGTGGCTGCTGCCAAGTCAGAGCCAGTGCCTGGGACCTGAGATCTTATACAGTGGACCAGGGCTGAGGATGCAGCCAGATAAGAGGGGCTAAGGCTGGGACATCTGAAACCATGACAGATGCTAGGAAGCCTGAGGAAGCACTCCCTTAAAAGAGAAGTGCTCAAGAAGGAGAGCACAGGCTACAGGTGAGGCAAACCTAGCTGCTAAGGCAGAGTGGATCATTGAGGAAACCAGTGAGACTACACCTGGCCCCAGAAACAACCTCCCCAGTCACTCAAAAGATAAAACTGAAGTAATGGCAGACAAGAGACTGGAGGTGAGGTGGAGCCAGGGAAGAACCAGCAGCCAGGTAAGACCACAGGGAGGCACCAGGTACTGGGGTAGCAGACCCCACACCTGCTACAAAGAGCACATTTACATCTTGATGGAAGGATGTTATACCAAAACCAAGTCCCCAGAGCAGCTGTGATACTCCGTGATGGCCTCACAACTCCAGCTTTGCTCTGGCCCTCCAGATATCCTCCTTTTCTTTCTTGCGTGTTGTTATGGTATTTGGGAGAAAGGGATGCTGCCTCAGGGTCCCAGAGCAAGCCTTTGTCTACTGTTAGTCTGCAGGTTCCTTCTAGACCCTGCTGATCCCTGTCCTGCCCTCAGGCATCAGGTGGGCCTCCCCTTTCCATTCATAACCTACCCTACTAATTGCCTTAGGGGCTAGTTTCCAACCTCCCCTAAAGCAATGCCCATTCCTTGCAGGTGTTACTATTCCATCACTTTCCCTTGTTGGGGCCTCAGCCTTCTTCACCCTAACCCCTTTGCTCTCAGCGCCCCCTTTTTCCTTTGCCCATTGAATCAGCCCTTAACTTATTGGGCACCTACCCTTGTCTAATCCTTCTTAGCTTTGGGCCTCTGGCTCTGATCTAGCCCCTCTAAGACTCTGATATCAACCCTCTAGGGTTGTTAATCCTCTGGCTTTGGCTTTGCAGTTCTTGGGCCTGGGCCCTCTGGCTCTGTCTTGACCCCTTTTGGGCTCTGGTCTGCTTGGCCTAGGCTTCACCCCTTTTCAGTTGCTGTCTATTAGCACCTTAGCCCAGCCCCTGGAAGGGCTAAAAGCAATCATGCTCAGATACTACTGGGACCTCCTACCTCCCCTGCTACACCAGTCTGGCTGACCAATTAATGCAGGGCCAGACTGGCTGCCCTGGCTCAGGTTCTGGGCTTATATGCTTCCCAAGCATGATTTAAACAGGAAAGCAGTGACTAAGTTGTTGACCATAGTAACACAAAGTAAATGAAACCCATTACCATAAGGAACAGCACTCAGTTTTAAGAGTAGAAACCTAGCTGGCAACCTCTGTAAGGCCATCTTAGTTAAATTTATCATAAATTCTTCACTTAGCTGTAAAAAGGTGTCATTGTTATCAACCCTTTTCATTAACAAATACCCTATCAAACTGTAAATTGTAGTTAGATGCATGTCTTTAATGATTGCATATATATTATTGTAAACCTGGAGAGGAAGAAGAGGAATGATGGACATGCGTCAGAACTAAACCACTAGCAAGAGCTCAGAGATCCTGGGGTCCAGCCTACACCCATCCTCCCAGGCATATGTTTTTAATTTTCCATTTTGTTTCTGAATGCTTGTTGAACTTCTGTTTAGCTTCCCAATAAAGTAATTCTCTTGAGAAGATATAGGTATGCCCAATCTTTATTCTAAGGCCTTATCTGAAAAAGTAAGCACCCTTTGTCCTAATTTGGGGATAGAAGGTTTCCCTTCATCTACTTGCTCACACCTGTACGTTTTAAACTTATAAATGTGCCAGTGATGTAACTCTGGGATGCCCTTCAGTGATCACTCTTGCAACTCTGGTTTCTAGTGCAATGAAAATTACCTCAGAGCAGCCGCAGCATCACATTCCTGTGTGTGAACAGAAGAGGTTGGGTAAGGGATGCTCAGCATCACCCAGTCAGGACATTGTTGCCAAAATGTAGATTTATGCTAAATCCTTTTCTGGAACTGGCCACGACCATGTGTAGTCTAACTGTGCTTAAATTCAATGGAAATCTCTTTATTATAATGGAGGCCTGAAGTCCTCAAAGTGGGTTAGGCCAGAAATAGTAAGAATGTCACATACAGGCAGATTGTTTTTCACTTCGGATAGGAACACAAAGGGGCCAGCTATACATGCAGCCTTTGTACTTTAGGAATGTAGGTTTTAAATGCATGTCAGTGCTTCTGGCAGGCAGATATTACTAAAGTTTGTGAAGAAAGATAGAATGAAGGACAGCCAAGCTCTGCTCTTTCCACACTTACAAAAAGAACAAAGCAGCTACAGAGCTTAATGCACCCTAGGCTTTTTCAAAGTTTTTACAAGATGTATACAAGATTGTTTACAAGATGTTTTAAACCACTTCATTTTTTTTAATGTTTTGTTTCTCTCCTCCTAGCACTGTAATTTTCCTCCAACTTAAATGTGTCCTGAACAGTCACATTTTTTACTTCTGGAATCTTAGTGGCCAGGACACAGGATCCATTGGTATAGTGGCTGCTGTACCATTGTGTGGGTCATTCCTTGCTGCTCCTCTCAACAGATGTGAACTGTGTCCCTGTCCGATGACAATTAGTACTTGCTGCTGATTATAACACTTGAGCTAATCACCCAAGGATCTAAACGCACATCAAAATT